AAACCCCCCCCCCCCAAAAAAAAAAGAAAATTCCTTAGAGTACATAAAAGGGTGGCAGAGGTATTTAGAAGGAATGTAAGAGTGTCAGAGACTAATTTGTATGGTAAGTAGTATGTAAACTCAAAGTGGTTCTGAATATTTTGGTAACAAGTATTTGTCCGACTAAACAGAAATAAAAATAAAATACTTACTCATTCCTTATCAGAAATAAAATAGAAAACAAGTCTGTCCAAATGTTCACAAACTATCACAAAAATCTTTTTTTTGAGAAATTTCACAGCTAATAGGTTGCTTCATCCATGTTGTCATCACTGTCTGCACCAAAATCATCTCCATCTTCAAAGTATGAATTAATGTAGTCATTTTCCTAAGTGAAATGATACATTCCTCAGTAAACAATGAATGAGTAGTAACACTGTTATTAAAAGAATACAATATAGATTGTCCCTGTAAGTTTATAAATACCAAATTTGGGTAATAAGAAAATATACCAGGCTTAAAAGGAAGTCTCTGCTTTTTTCTCTGCTTAAAAAACACATTAACCATTTGTATATCTTCCTTTAAGAAATGCCTGTTTGGCTCCTTTGCCCATTTTTTAATCACGTTATTTGTTTCTTTACTAAGTTGTTTGAGTTCCTTGTATATTCTGGGTATTTATCATTTGTTGGATTGCATACTTTGCAAATATATTCTCCCACTCTGTTGGTTGTCTTTTTGCTCTGTTAATTGTTTCTTTTGCTGTGCAGAAGCTTTTTAGTTTGATATAATCCCATTTGTTTGTTTTCCCTTTTGTTGCCTGTGCTTCTGGGGTCTTGGTTCATAAAGTCTTTGCTCAGTCCTACTTCCTGAAGTGTTCCCCCTATGTTTTCTTTTAGAAAATATACAAATGGCCAACAGACAACATGAAAAAATGCTCAACCTCACTCAGCATCTGGGAAATGCAAATCAAAACCACACTGAGATATCATCTCACTCCAGTTAGACTGGCTATTATCAAGAAGACAGAGGATAACATACTGGCAAGGATGCAGAGAACGGGGAACCCTCCTACACTGTTGGTGAGACTGTAAAATGGGCAACCATTATGGAAAATGGTATGGAAGTTCCTCAAACAACTACAGATAGAATTGCCACTGACCTAGCAATCCCACTGGTGGGTATATACCCAAAGGAATGGAAATCATCATGTCAAAGAGACACCTGGACTCCTGTGTTTATTGCAGCTCTATTTACAATAGCCAAGAGTTGGAACCAACCTAAATGTCCATCATCAGATGAGTAGATAAGGAAAATGTGGTATATTTATACAATGGAATACTACTCTGCCATAAAAAGAATGAAATACTGCCATTCGCAGCAACATGGATGAACTTAGAGAAAGTTATGTTAAGTGAAATAAGCCAGGCACAGAAAGAGAAATACTGCATGTCCTCACTTATATGTAGGAGCTAATGAAAATAAATAAATAAAACAAATTTTACAAAAAGATACAATAATCACAATAATATGCTGAACTTTTTAAGAGAAGAGAACAGAACTGAGGTTGCTGGGGGTGGGAAAGAGGAGAGGGCGGGGGAAGGAAGGAATTGGTAAAGAACCATGAAAATCGATTACATTGTATAATGATGAATATACTAATTATCCTGATTTGAACATCACATATTTCACACTGGTATTGATATTCAATGCTGTACCCCAAAGATATGTACTGTCAGTTATGTTCCAACAACAACAACAAAAACACACATTAGTCTTCACTCATGTCTACGTGTGTTGCTTTCTTTCTGAAGACCACCACTTCCTACTATTCTTAAGCACCAACTAGCTAAGAGGACATGAAAGGTTGTCCATTCCATCTTAGAAGGATGATATATCTACCTTAGTGGGATGATGTGTTGTTTAGTTAGCTAAAAACTAAACACTCCACCAAATGCACAAACAAGAAACAAAGCCAATTTACATTAACATTCATTAGACTACACCAGAACTGAGTTTTTCAGTCACAAAGCATAACAAAGCATAACTGAACATAAGCAGAGGAATTTTTGCTTCCTATCAAAAAAAGGCCTCATGATATCCATCCAAACCTAGAGGATGCTACAATACATTGTATCCACATCCTCTCTGTTTCCCTTAGGTTAAGAGGGATTAAGCCCCTGGGAATGTTTCAATTCTGACGGTTATGACTATCATCCATGTAAATAACTCAGAACATTACTGTGCTTTCTTTTCTTTTGTCTTTTTTTTTTTTTTTTGTGACCGGTAAGGGGATGCAACCCTTGGCTTGGTGTCGTCCGCACCGCGCTCAGCCAGTGAGCGCACGGGCCATCCTTATATAGGATCCGAACCCGCGGCAGGAGCGCCACTGCGCTCCCAAGCGCCGCACTCTCCCGAGTGCGCCACGGGGCCAGCCCACATTTCTGTGCTTTCTATAGAAAATTCAAATATCCATTGAATTTTCTATAGAAAATTCAAATATCCATGGATATAGATTAAATTTAAGAGTTATTAACCAGTTGCAGTGTAAGGATTGGATTATATTTGTATTCTGATTGGAACAAACAAATTTTTTTGAGACAACCAGAAAAATTTAACATTGGCTTTAGTTTTGATAATATTAAGAAATTATATTTCATTGTATGAGATGTAATAATTATATTTTGATGTTGTTAAAGAGCCCTTATTTTTGAGTCCATACTGAAATACTTATGGATGAAATGATATGATGCCTAGGATTAGCTTTAAATAATCCAAGGTACATGGTGGGTAGAGGTAGAGGGCCAGGCAGGGACTGGGTGGATAAATGAGTGGCTGAAAGACTGGCTGTGAGTTGATCATTTTTAAAGCTGGGTGATAAGCCCATGGGTATTTATTTCACTAGTCACTAGATTTTGTACATGATGGAAATCTGCCATAATAAAAAATGAATCTCCACATCTCTACTGTCTACAATAAGAAGTAGAAATTATTCTCAAAGGGAAGTCTCCTGTATACCAGCTTTATAGTTTTCCTTAAGGTTTTCTTTTTTAGTATCTGGATGGTAGGATTTTTATATATAAATATATACAAATAATGCAAGAAAGGTAACTTGCATTATTCGGATATTTCATTAATTTATTTTTCCTAAATACTATAAATTTCTGCATCCATCTAAGACCTTTCCCAGCTCCAGAAAGCTGGCCTGGCTTCTCTGGTGCCAAGAAATCCAGTAACGTCTAGAAACCTGGCTGAAGCCTAGGGCTTGTGTAAGGGAGAGAAGTGGCATGGTTGACTTCACCTTGTAAATTAGACCTTGGCAAGGACAGTTGTGTGGAAATATAAGCAAGCCAGTTTGTGTGTAAAAGTAGACATGAGAAAGGGAGGGATACTCTAGTATTCTAAATCAAGCACATGCCACATGTGTTTTAGACATGAGCACCTCCTCCAAGTATGTTCAGTGATTCAAATTAGGTAATTTTGTGATGTTAGTAATCTTATACACGCATAAAGTAGTGGAACCTGTTGAAGCTGGTGGCTTAAATGGTTCTTGGCTATCATTTGAGCTCTTGTTTTTTTCTTTGATTACAAATACTCAAAAGATAGAAGAAAAGTCTTCATTTCTTTGATTTTAACACCTATTGTTACGTAAATAACTTGCTCCACTTTCCTTTTCAAAACAAAATGCTTATCAAATATTCAATACTTTGAGTAATTTAATCGCCACAACATTTTAATTAATTAAGTGCTAAAAAGGAACAAAGAGGACTACTTTAAATCTAGTACAGCTTTAATGGAGCTCCTTTTTTCATCTGTCACTCAGCGTCATACTCAGAACATACATCATTTCTCTATTAAAATGGAAAGTTTTTGTTTTTAAATGAAATGTAGTTATAGAAACCCACTACTGTAAACCCACTGATGAGTAGTGCTCTGCTAAGAACCAACACAGAATTCTAAAACTACCAGAATCCCAATTTTTGTTGTTTTTGTTAGAGGTGATCTTAATTTGAACACAGATATGATGCAGACTTAACTCAACTCAAGCAGATTTTGCCAACAAGAGTATTCCAAAAGCTACTCTTGTCTAGAATACTGGCCAGTCCTCACCCTACCCCCATACCAGTTGTGATAATAAAAAATGTCTCCAAACATTATCAAATATCCCTTGAAGGGTAAAAATTACCACTGGTTTATAGCAAAAAGCTTTCAAATATGATCCTACCTTGGCTCCTTCCAATCCAAGCAATTGAGCTTTCTAAGATAAAAATCTGATCATACTACTCCATTGTTTAAAATCCTTCAGTGTCCCCACAGCACTCAGGATAAAGTCAAATATCTCAGCTTGGTATTAAAGGCCATTAATGACCCAAATCCTGCTCATCTCTCCAGACTCACCTCTCCACATGACCCGACATACACTGTCTAGTTTAGTTGTATTGATTTACCTTGTCAATTAAACTAAGACGCCCCACTCTCACCACCTACAAGCTTTTCTCCATTTTCTTTCCTCTACCTACAAGGCCCCTCCACTACATTTTCTCATCTTGATCTGATCAACTTTTGAGAGCTCATAAATTGGCTCTTTTGAGATCTCTTTGACATCTCTAAAATGGAATTTGGTGCCCTCTTCTGTGCGTACTACGTCATAGCATTACTCACTGTATTATAACTATCTCCTTTCTTGTCTGTCTCCCCAGTAGATTAATTTCTTTGAGGGGAGAACTGTATCTCATTTTCATATTCCCATTGCCTAGTGTAATTCCAAGCATGCACTTGGTGTACAATTACTATATGCTGAATGAAAAAACATTAAGGAATCATAAGTCTATATAGGGTGCAATCAAGTAGGGAGAATATGCAGAGAAAAGGAAGGCCCAAAGGCAGAACCTGAAGAATACTGACATTTAAAGACTAGGAAGGGAAGAGAACTCAAGAGACAACAAAAAGGTATCAGGGAAATAGGAGAAGAATGAGAAGCATTATGTTACAAAAATGAAAGGAAGCAAGCACTTTTGTCTATGTCAGGGCACCTAGCACAATGCTGGGCATAAAGTAGAGGCCAATAATTGCCTTAAATTGCTGAATTTAAACAAAAAGAACAATATTTTAATAATAGAGTTGTCAGAAGTGTTAAAGGCTGCAGAAAAGCCAAGTGAAATGAGGGCTAAAATTTGTCTATGGTGAACTTGGTAGCGACAATTTGAACAGCATGGTGGTAGAAATCAGACTGGAAATAGTGGGGGGAGTGAACAAGTGATGGCAGCTAAAGAGACTTTCCAAGAGACATCACGAGAGCTGGGGAGGAGTGTGGGGAACATATTTTACTTTGGAAGATGAACATGTTTTAATTCATAAATAGAAGAGGGAAGTATAAAAAGAGGTTGAAAACATGGAAAGAGAAACAACCTGAGGATTATTGTTCCAAAAAATGGGCAGAACAATTAGCCCCAAACAGGATGAAGGGGATTTCTTCCATTGATAACAAAGAGGAGGAGGAGGGAAGACACTTAGTTTGAAGGCAGAGGATATGAAATTAAGGGAGGTTCCTCTTGTCTTCATTTTCTATCTGAAGGTGCTGTCACTTGCTGAGACTGAAAGACAAGGTAGTAAAAAAGGGGGATTAAGAAGAAAGAAGATGATCTAAAATAACTGCTGTAAAGAACTGACTTAAGAGAAACAGAAAGCAAGATGGCCAGCAAAATGGGGCTAGTGTTTTTTTAGTGGCATCAGTTTCTCTGATTCTTCAGAAATGCTACACAGGCAGGTTTGAAGGGAGAAAGGGGCAGAGAGTGGAAATGTTCAAAGGCTGCACTGGTCCACAGGACAAGAGACAAGAGTAATGGCAAGAAAGAGGATGAAGGGTGAGCAGGGCCTAGGCTCCTCAAAGAGGGAAATTAAGACAGAGAACCAACCAAGGTGAAATAGCGGATCAGAAGTACTGTCTCAATCATGTCAGAGAGCAATGAGAATACAAAAGTGAATGATCTTAAAGGAAATTTGGAGACAAATGTGATATGTTTAATTTTAAAATATTTAGACTTAAAATTTATCTTTAAGAATAAACAGAATACTCAAATATTCTGAAAAAGAAGGGTATCAGGGAAGACATGTCCTACAAATATTAACAAATAATCAGAAGCTTTATTAATTGGAACAGCTCTCTTTTGGTTCGGAAATAGATCAATGAAACAGAATCCAGAAATACATCTAAGTAGAAATGGGAATCTAATAGCTGATAAAGTAAGAATTTCAAATCAATGAGAAGCAAATTATTTAACAAATGAGGTTAGCATTTGGCTTGCCACTTGGAAACAGATAAAAATGTATCCATACTTCTCCCTTTGTACCAATATAAATTTCAAAAGAACACAAAATTTAATGCAAAATAATCAAAGCATATAATAATGATTTCATAGTTGGAGCAGTTTCAGGTAAAGAAAAGATTCAGAGTGCAGTGCAAGAAGATGAAATGGAATGAAGACAAAGGTCACCAGAATAAAGAAGAAACTCTCAGGCAATCAAAGCATATAATAATGATTTCATAGTTGGAGCAGTTTCAGGTAAAGAAAAGATTCAGACTGCAGTGCAAGAAGATGAAATGGAATGAAGACAAAGGTCACCAGAATAAAGAAGAAACTCTCAGGTGAGGTGGCTACAAAGACCAAGAAAGTTACCCTGCTCAAAAATGTCCTGATTGACTCCAGTTCATTTTGAAATGCACCATGTTTCTAATAGTGCGAAATCTCAAATACAAAACATGGAGTCCTGACTCAGCCAAATAACTGAGATTGGATTAAAGATGTTCTCTGATAGTGTCCACATGCACTTTGGAATCTAAAACATGACGGCATTGCAGGGATTCCCCTCCAGACCTGTCTGACTAAGTTCTCCATTATCTTAATTGCAGACTTAAAATTTTATATTGATAAATCTTAATTTTAAACCTGATTAATATCTTTTATTTGTGGACTTCCACTTAGAAAGTTGCTTATCAAGTTACTTTTATCTCCTACATTCAATTTGACATCATTAGAATTTCAATGCTGTAATAATTCTCTTTACACCAAGGCATTGACACCAGTGATAATAATACTTCTGGTTCCAATCAACTTGGTTTTTGTTTGTTTGTTGATGTATCTGGTTCCTTATGAGATAGTCCTTAGGCTTAGAAACTTTGTTACCCTCCCCAGATGGACCATTACCTCTTCTTGCTCTTCTTCATCATAGTCCTCCTGTTCGGCAGCATCATTATCGTCATCATCATCGCCTTCTTTACCTTTCTCTTTGCTTCCTTCTTTCTCTTCATTTTCCTCATCTGATTTTTCACCATCACCTCTCTTTTCCAATTCCTGATATGAATGAATTTCATTACTTTATATGGAAACCACTAGACTTTGACCTCCCTGCCCAGCCTTAAGAGCACACAGTTACTTATCACCTTATTCTAATCTCACTTTACCACCACTTCCAGGCACTTTCTAGGAAACTATAAGTTAATTCAAGAATGGAGGAACTAATCATCACATCATTACACTAGTATTTTCTTTGAGTTTGTTATGTAATAATTGGGTCTTGGGTAATACTGGGGTTATCAGCTCTAATATACAATGCTTTATTTTTATGATTTCTATCCTACCTTCTTCTAAAATACTTGAGGTGATTTAGTTTACAGAGAAGAACTATGTTTTCTTTCTAACATAATCGGAGAAAGAAGAATGTAATGGTAATATTTCAAAATGTCTATGTTTTAGTTTATAAGTGAGATCACTTAAAATTATTAATATCAAGTCATTCTGGCATAAATTATCCTAGTTACAGATTAACTAGGATAACTACAGATGAGATCACTTAAAATTATTAATATCAAGTCATTCTGGCATAAATTATCCTAGTTACAGATTATCCATGTCCTTATCTTTGTTCTCCCTCATTTATTTCCCATTTCCAGGAATATATGCTTCTTGATATATTTGGCAGGTTGGGAAGAAAGATTAAAACTCAAATCACAGTCAACACTAGTGAATGTTAGAAACGCTAGGAGAGGAGGCAAAGGAGAGATGCAAGGTTAGAAAAGCTTTGATTGCCTTATGGTTCCACTTATCTACCCTATTAAAATCATTATTCTACCCTCTCACAGCACACAAGTTTAACTTGAAAATTACATCTCTATATTTCTATTATGACTACTAACAATTTTTTTCATTTGACAAAAGTGACCTATTTTCATTACTGTCACTATCTGTTCACTAAATTGTACTATGCTCAATTTGCACAAATGATATGCTCAATTTCACAAATTTTCTAGGAGGTGGGTGAAGCAATAATTTCACATATTAATACCCAATTAAGGCATAAGATCACTTTAATTAAGATGTGATTATTCTTAAACAGTAATCAGAACACTAATTCATGAATCTAAAAATATTCCATGTCTATTATATTTACTTTGTAGATTACATATGAGAGAAAATATATTTTATACCTGAGTGACTACGACTTAGCTATTCCTTTATTGGTTCTTAAAGATTTATTTTTTTAAATCCTTTTAATTACATTCAAATTTCAATGTAAGGAAATTAAAGGTGACAGAAAGACTCCATCAGATAGAGTCAATTTTTCTAATCAAAATTCAAACTCCACCTTTCCTTTCTGCTCACCCAACCCAGGCAGAACAAATAAGACCAAAGTAACAGACATAAATGATTTATATTGATACTGACCCATATGCTGCCTTAATGTGAGTTATTACTATAATATAATGTGTTTAATTTTTCCAACTAGCAATCCTTTTGGAAAACTACAAGTAAACAAATAGTGTTTACAGATCTTTTGAGGCATCTATGCTGTGAATTGATTGAATTGTGTCCCCAGAATTCATGTATCATAAGCTTAATTCTGACTGTAACTGTTAAAAGAGTGGGAAATCCTATTATGGTAATTGAAAGGTGGGGCCTTGAAGAGGTGATTAGATTGCAGGACAGTTCTTCTAGTTTAAATACTACACAGCCACCATATAGAGCCTCCTATATATCATGCAGAAATATGAAGCTCAGATATTAGTTTACTGCTGTCTGATTATTCACACATTAATAATGTGACATGTGACCATACGTCACTCCTTCTCAATCTACAGACGTCCTATTAAAATTGTGATGGTTAATTTTTAGGTGCCAATTTGACTGGATTAAGGAATACCAAGAAAACTGGTAAAGCATTACTTCTGGGTGTGTCTATGAGAGTGTCTCCAGAGGAGGTTGCATGTGAGTCAGAGGACTGAGTGGGGAAGAGCCCCTCTCAATGTGCGCAGCACTACCCAACCGGCTGGGGGCCCAGATGGAACAAAAGTGGAGAGAAAAAATTGCCTCTCTCTCTCTGGCTCTCCTGCTCTTCTGCAAACCTCAATGGGATGACGCTGCAAGAAGGTTCTTGCCAGATGCCAGCACCTTGATCTTGGAATCACAGCCTCCAGAACTATGAGAAATTTATCCTCTTTATAAATTACCCCATCTGTGGTATTCTGTTATAGCAACATAAAACAGATTAATACAAAAATAAAACATGCACTGCTTTTGCTGAAGAAATGAGCAAGAAGAGTCATCGGGAAATGACCTTTGTTCTATAAAAACTGCTAACTTATTGGGCTTTCTAGATTCAAAATCCCAGTTTTAACAATTTTTGTCTTCAAAAACACGTTTAAATATAGGGAATAAGGAAACACAATGTTCTGAGACAAAAACACACCCAGAGGTCCAGCTCAATCTTCCTTACAGCACATGTCATCTTAGCAACTTCTCCCCAGGAAGCTTTAAGTACAGTCAGAAACTGTGTTCCATCAATACAAGCTGGCTAGTCCTGCAACCCCATCTATCACTCCACGACAGTTAAACCTGACAGTTATCGCTATTCTGTCATCAATCCTCCTGGCTTTATTTTTCAGACATTTTATCTACAGCTCAAGGAATGGTCAAAATATAATAAAAATATGAGCTTCTGCCACCAAGTAGCTGTGATAACTTGTCCAGGCAAGTAAAAGTTTTAAAGCCTTGACTTCTCATCTGTAAATAATGAATAACAATACCCACCTTTCTTTGTTGTTATGAACTCTGAAGGACATAATATATATAAAGAGCTCATCAAAGAGCCTGGTACATAATAAGTTCTCAATAAGTGTTAGTGACTACCATCATCATCACCATCATCATCATTAATGCAAGGTAACATATGCACTGATAGCAGGAATAAATTGGTATAACCTCACAGAAAGCAATGTGACAATAGTTACCCATTTTATACAAAGTACATTAACAGTTGACCAACAAATACTTCTAGAAATCTACACTACAAATGTGAAATGATATACTTAGCACAAATTGACTGCACATTGTTTGTAATATCAAAACTCTAGATGAGGCATAATGTCCATCAGTAGGGCATTAATTAAATAAATTATGGTTCATTCTTATAGCGCAGCCAAAAACACAATGAGGCAACTCTACACAGACTGTTATGGAACTGAACCACCTGCAAGATATTTTAAGTAATAAAATGAAAATGCAGAAGAGTATAACATGCCTCCTTTTGTCATTAAAAAATTTTTAAATCTTTGTTATGCATAAAATATTTCTGAAAGGATATATAAGAAACTGGGAACATTGGTTGTCTACTGGAAGAGAATTGGATGGCCATTACAGGGATGGGAGGGCAAATTTTCAGTGTATTAACCTCCTGAATTTTACATCTTTTTATTTTTGAAATATTTAAATAAAGAAAGATACAAAAATAAGTTCCATACGATATAATTTTCCCTCAACAGAGTCTTCTATACTTCACATAAGACCCAGAAAAAAAGCATTTAAAAAGTACATAAACACAAACAGGAGAAACAATGAAAGATTTAAAAAAGAATTACATATTTAACCCTTTTAAAAGAGTTACATAAAAGAGGTATGTAACTCTTTCATGTTTCTTCCCCCTGCATAATTCCAGTACAAAGGGGAAAGAGCCATACAGTGGAAAAGGAAACAGGTGACAGAAGACCAGGCAAGTGGCCAGGTGAGTGGTAAAGAACAGCATGGAAGCTCCCTACCTCCCAGCTAACAAAGTTCAAACCTCCCCAGTTATCTCATGTGCTAGGCTCACTTCTGCCAAATCCACATGCTATTAACAAGTGAGAGAAGGTTGAAAAGTTAAAGTAAGAAGGCAAAAGGAGGTATGACCTTTTACATTTTTTCAGTACACTTTTATGGTAAGAAGAAAACCTTACCTCAATTTTTTCCAACACATCTGCAGTATTAGTGAGTGAAGTACCTTTGCCTGTATCTTTTGCTTTTTTGGATTTTGGGCCTGCTGAAGTAAAACTTCCAGTTAAAACATTTTTCTATAACAGCAACTGTGTATTATATTTCTTTGCCTTTTCATATGCTGTCTAAGTTAGTGGTATGTCACACCAAGCAGCCACATAATTTCAGAGTGAATTAATTTTCTCAAAGAATAAACAAAATAAATCATCACACCTCACCAACTTTCCAATCAATGAGAAACAAATGATAATCACCTAATAGGTTATGTTTAAAGACTGCAACCAGACACATTTTTAGTAGTACTAAAATTTATACTGGCAATTAACATCATGTGGAGGATACTGACATTAATGAGATAGAAATAAAACACATGTATTTCACAGGGCCAAAGCCTGTAGCATAGAGGGACCAAAGTCCTGTAGTGTAGAGGACCAAAGTCCTGTAGTTTAGAAGGACCAAAGTCCTTAGTTTAAGCCAAAGCCTGTAGCTTAGAATGACCAAAGTCCTGTAGTTCAGGAGGCCAGAGCTTCTAGCTTAGGGGGCCAAAGCCCAACCCTTAGAATTGCTAAGATTAAAAAAGACCAGAAAACTTTCAGTGGACTAAAGCCTTTGATGTAGATAAGAGAATTGAAGCACAGCAAAAATTGATTGCTCTGGAGGCATTTGCCCTTGGTGCAGCTAAACCTAAATGCTGGGAAAGTATATGAGCTTAAAATCTTCAAGGATATTCTGCTAGTGCTTGGGGGACAATCCACATCTCACCCTAAGTAGTTTCTTTGAGTGTCTGGGGGAGCTAAGCACTATGGTAATTATCTCATGTTTCCTTTTGTATGTCACATAGCTTAGTTTTATGACTCCTTTTGATGGTAAATTGCTTGAACTATTTTAAGTTATACCTGCTTTAATGAAGATTGTCACGTAGTCCGTTTGTTTACATTTTCACTATGATTGAATAATCACCTGTTTTTAATTCTGTAACTTTGTTTTTACAATAAAAACTGAAGTAACACCTGACTCGGGGCTGTGCCTGGGCTCTGCTCTCTTGAAGGAGTTTTCCCTTGGTGCAGTCCCTTCAGGTTTCTCATTGCTCTGAATACATGGGCTCTGAGTAATGTTTTGCGTCTCTGTCACTCTCTGAGAGGATAGTGACAACATCATTAGGGCCCAATGGCTAAAATGTTATGTCAGGTAGAAGCACTAGAATACTAAGGAAAAGCTCCCACAAATCTACCTGCACTGGCTTCCTATTCACTGATGAGTGTACTTCATTTTAACCAGAGCAATTTTACTAGATTTGTAAAATAAAAACAAGTAGAGGATAAACATGCATTTGCTAATGGTGAAAGAGATGAGAAAAAGGTTATTTTCAGTGCAAAGCAGAACCACCTTTGGAATGAAGATTAAAATGGTTAAACTGAACACACCCATCATATGATTCTGAAACTCAAAGCATATAAATGAAATAAAATGTTCTCATGCCTTTGGGATACATAATTTTTTTTATCCCTACCCAAAATATTGCATTTTTAGGCTATTCTGAAACTGCAGGGAATAGAAAATCATTTCATATATAAATTCTGCCAGTTACCAAAGAATTATGATATGCTACAAAATTGTGCCATTGTAATCAGAAAGTATTACAGGTCTCTTCCAAAATCAAACTACATACCTAGAAATTGCTTGATAACAGAGGAAAAATATGGCTCAGAAAGATGTAATTTTGTTAAAGATTAACATTTAACCTACAGAAAAAGATTTTTAGATTGTGGTGGATGACCCATAACTGATGGAATTATAATTTACTGTGTTATACCAAATTGTACCTTGGCTAGTCACTGAGTTCAGATCTCCCAAGCACACATATTAGTAAGGTTTCCTCAAACAAAAGTATCAGACTGAATGATGGGTAACTTTCTCTGCCTCCCTTGAGGGCAAAGACTGTTTTATATGAACCGTAGTACATAAAATATAGCATTATAGATGAACAAAATCTCAATAAATATTACAATATTGATGCCAAAAAAAATTACCTTAGAATGTAATTTACTTACATCATGAAGTCTTTTTCTCTAAGGACTTTTTATCAAATTATTTAATTTCATAACACGTAAGTCTGTTAAATGGATCCTATATAATATGATCTGGTAAATAAACTTATTAAAAGTTACTAATTTCTTAACCAAAATGGTCAGTTGCAGACTCAAGTCCATTCAGCATTCTTTGCTACTTATCATTCTGTTTTACGTAATGCCTAATCTTTATATGCATGACTGGGGGAGAATTGTCAAATGATCAAAATTGCTAAAAGACTGTTCTAACTCCAAAACATTAACATGAACTTTTTTTTCCATCTTTGGCCAAATGTATGCATATATTTAGATTTTTTTGTTTCTTTCAACAACTGCCAGTAGCTGGTTCTTCACAAAACAAATTTTTTCAGCCTTTGACTCTTTTGGTATTGTTAACTTTCATGTAAATTAGTAGAGGCCATCTTAAAAGTAGAATGCAAGCTTAACAGGAACAAAACACAAAAATTATACAATACGCAATAAAAAAGAAAACTACAGCAGAATGGGGCTGCCCAGTTAGCTCAGATGGTTAGAGGGTGGTATTACAACACCAAGATCAAGGGTTCAGATGCCCTTACCAGCCAGCTGCAAAAAATAAAATAAAATAAAATAAAAAATTAGAGCAGAATGGAAAAATAAAGTTTTGTTGTTGTTTTGTTTTTTAACAAATGGAAATCCCGACTCACTGGAAGCTTTTACTAAGAATCAATGTATGTATGAACCTCCAGG